CAAAATAACTAATTTAAAACCGCTTTTTTTCTCTTTTCTCTGTTCTTCATTATAGATGTTATGTATTAATGGTTATAATGTTACGCTAATGTCCATAGAAGTTGAAGCAGAAATTATACAATTTTAAGATCAATAAAAAAAAAAAAATAAATAAACCAACAATTATTCAATTAAATGCCTACATATTTAAAATTGTATTATAATGTTTTGATTTAAGAAATAGTCTTTGAAATACTAATTAAAAAAGAATATAATATATATTTTTTTTTTTTTTAATTTGTTTTACACATTTTTCTTTTCTTTAATTGAATTGTTTAATATGTTAGAAAAGGAATTATGTTTATATTATACTTGTATCTTCATATGCACAATATATTTTGGTAATGATGTATTTCAAAGTGATAGGTACTTACTCTCAATGTTTTATTATAGTTTATAACAAACAACCATATTACCATTGTAGGTATAATTTAAAAATTTAAAGGTATTTATTAGAAGCATTACAATTAATAATGTAAATATTTTTATGGTTTACTATAAATTATAAATGTTTGAAAATGAATAATTTTATTATTTTCTGCTTTAAATGATATTCTTCTCTTCAGATCAGTGGCGCCGAACTAAATTTTATTTGGAGGGGCAGTAGAATCCAAAAAGTACCTACCCACCCAAGCAATTTAAACAGAGCCGTGGGGGGCTTCGCCCCCCACACCCCCTACCTTTAAACCATAAGTAGAGAATTTATTATCAATAATAATTATTAAAAATGAGCATTTATAAAATTTTTTTATTGAATACCAAACAAATTATTTAAATATAAATTATACTTATATAATAATATGATTAAATTTAAATAATATAAATAACTCAATAATAGAATTATTAAAATATACATTACAATAATAATTTTGACAATTCTGTACTACATGATGCAAAACGTTTGATGATAGTGTCTACATCAATTGGAATATCACATTCACAAGACATCATCAAAAGTGCTTCAAGCCTGTCCTCACTCATTGTACTTCGAAGCCTTGTTTTCACCAGTTTTAATTTTGAGAACGTTCTTTCAGGAGAAACACTTGATATAGGGAGAGTCAGTGCAATACTTAAAGCAGTGTATAAAGCAGGGAATGTTTCTTTCAAACCTGCCTCATTACATATCTTATACATCATGTGAATAGTACCTTCACTATTAGGAGTTTCCAATGAATCATCATCAGTAAATTCTTCTACTTCACTTTCAGTACCACTGGCTTCAAATTCATAATTTTTAATCTGTGTATTATTTTGTTGGTGTAATGTTTTTGGCAACGACAATGTTTTTTCTAACTCTAAATATACATTTGCAAATTGCATATATTCTCTTCTCAAGTCTTCAGCAAAAACAAACTTCCCATAAACTTGTTGAAATCCATTAAATGCGTCATTAGGCAAATTGGACGATTTTGTTATTTCTAGAAGTCTTTTTTTGTTAAAAAGTGATAAATCATTTATTAAAGGATTTGAATTGTTATTGAATCTTTCAAATATTTGAGAACTTATTATATCAATAACAGTAAAGTAAGTATTTATTTTAAAGTTGTTAATTGGACTTAAGTTTGGCAGTTCATCTGATGATGTCTCTCCTGGCATTTTTTTTTTCTTTCTCATACGGGTTTGTGTAAGTGGTATTATATCAAAGTCTACAACATTTGTATTAACAAATATTTCTTTTTCTTTCACTATTGCTTCAAATTGAGTATCATTTCTAAACAAGTTTATTTTCTTTTGTACACTTTTAACATAGGATACAGCTGATAACAAATCAATATTTTTCCCCTGCAAATATAAATTTAATGGACCTGTAATATCAAACATTTTTCTAAAGGTCAATGCAGTTAAAAAAAGACGTTCTGATATCAGATAATCAAATAAACTTTTTGCTTTAATACTACTCATGCGATCTGAAGATGTATCTTTATCTAAATATTCTAGTGTGTCCAAAATTGCATTAAATGTTGCAAATACTGTTTCAAGTGCAGAAGAGTGTGATGACCAGCGTGTTGTTTCTACTCTTTTGAGCCTTCTTAATTGTTTATTTGGATATCTTTCTTTTTGATAATTGGAGTACATGTTTACTCTTTTTTTACTACTACCAATAAAATCATATAATGCTTCAAGGTTACCAAATAAGTCTCTTGCTTCTGTGCAACTACTTACTGCATCTACAATAATTAAGCTTAGACGATGCGCATAGCACCAAACATACATAGCATATGGATTGTGCTCTTTTACTATTGCCTGTAAACCATTATACACACCTCTCATGGAAGCGGCTCCATCATAGGATTGCCCGACAAGGTAATTTTTCCAATCAAGATTCATTTCGTTAAATATTTCTTCAAGCATAGTAAAAAGATGTTGTCCTGTTGTAGTCGCAGTCTCTCTAACTGCCACGAGTCGCTCGTTTACTATACAGTCAACAGTGTTTTTATTAATATACCTTAATATGACAGATAACTGTTCTTTCCTAGAAACATCAAATGTTGTGTCTAGGGACACACTAAAAAATCTTGCTTCTAGAAGTTCTTTTTGTATGGTATCTTTAATGTGCATTGAAATTGATTTAATTAATTGATTTTGGCGTTGCCAAGACAAAAAGTTATGGATCTTTCTTCCTTTTAATTGTAGCTGAGTAACATAAGAAGACAATGCGGGGGAGTACTTAGTCAATAATACCACTAAATCTTTAAATTATTTATTAGTCCACACTGGTTACACCACAAAATACTGTACAAATTTACAAATTTGGTAAATCAAAATACTAGACGTTGTATATCAACAAATACAATTTAATAATATCATATATTTACTAATTAAATATAATAAAAAATATACATACCTTTTGTACTTGTAGTAGTAAAAAACTGCTTAATATTAAAACTACTATTAGTTTTAATTTTTTTATTTTTACAAGCTTGTAAATGTCGATTCCAATTAGTTGGATTTAGACTTCCTCTATCTTTACGACAAAAGCCACAAACGCGTGAGTCCATAATAAAGTATTATAATTTCAAATATTTCAATGCACCACGACGATAAAAAATTATAAAAATAATAATAAATAACAATTTTGCATTCACTCAACCGAATCGCATACACCGCCTGCCGCCTGGCACAGGCAAACAGCACACTATACTCTGTACCAAATAAGAGCGCACCGGGCGGCGCACGAAAACCGGTCGAAACTCGCGCATGTCAGAGAGCGCTGCCGCAGCATATTCCGGCGCCGGCCAGGTCAACTCTGAATACAGAGTGTTGTATTATATCACACCAATTTTAACGGTATACGTGGTTAGACGTTGTTATATTTTTTGCGGGCATTGGTGAATATTTTGAATGTTTTTAATATTATATTGAGTTCAATACCTATGTTAAGAAAAAAAAAACGAAAAGTATGTGTATTATTTTACTGATTAATACGCGTGAAACGCATTATTACTTCAGCTCCCTGTATTCTCGACGGCGGCGAATCCGACCGACGATCGGCGACCAATCACAGAGCGAATAGACTCGACCAGGGGGTCCAGACGTCGCTCCGCGATTCATTTGGATGCGCCAACGCGGTGCGCTCTTATTTGGTACAGAGTATAGAGGGAGACCTGTCTGGTTATTGGTTAAGCCACTAAGTCACACTTTATTTGATTTTGTGTAAAATACGGGTTTAAACTGTATAATATTGTATAATATTCGTAGTAGTCATATCGACATATCGTCGTAGTCTATGATAATCAATATCCGTTTATTTATAGCATTATTTGTTTGGTGATTTTAATACAGTTGTTAATTTACTGATAACGCCAAAGACCCGATGTCTTAACGTGCGGCCCGCAATATTATATTTATTTTTGTCTTGCTTGTAACAATTCAAAATAACATAATATTGGAAAATTAATTAATTTTTTGCTATACTAATAGTTAACGCACTAAGGTCACTGCGCTGCCGTCTATTGGCATATTAAATATTAATCAAAAATTGAACCATTAAACAAATAATTGAAAAAAAAATAAAAGTACCTAATTATTTATAATATTCATATTTATATTATACTATATTAGGTGAATAATAATTGTGATCGTTGACAGTGTTAGTACAATATTAATACTTAGAAAAATCTACAGCAGTGCATATGGCTAGCGAGTTGTGGTATTTTGCTCATAGGCGATGAGGCTATCCAGGGGAGCAATACAAATTACAAGTTACAAGCTTAATTAATTTTGTATTGAGAACTTATGTACCAATACATTTTTTTTATGTTAGGGGAGGGGCATCTGCCACTTTTTTTTTACAAGTAGGCGCCGGGCGGTAAATATAAAATGTTTGGGAATCACTGTCATAGACAGACGCGGGACGCTAGTCTCGAAGAATTGAAAAACCATGTCTTATGATAAAGATTTTATTTATATACAAACTACTACCTAAACCTAAGTATTGGCTACAAATAAAAGTTAGAACAGTATCTACTATACGGGTAGAATAATAATCTGTGTACACATACACTTCATACTATACTAGGTATAGTATATCTAAAATACTGATGAACAGATGAACAATATTATTTTCAATCATAATACTTAAATTTTCTACACAGTAAACACCCACCTACCCACGACCCACCCACCCATTCAAAGAAGGTGGGCGATTGCCCCCCTTGATACACGGATTCGGCGCCACTGCTTCAGATGAATACACCTAATGCCTAACATGAAATATCATCTCTTATGAACATTAGATTTAGATTTTAGAATAATTAGATGAGTTATGTTATGTTCAATATATAAATACATATTATCAACAGTATTTTATTAAGTAATATATATTATATAATTTTCAAAATAATTTCACCCATTATCTCTAATAATATTTTATGTGCAACAATATATAAAACTAAAAATATATGTTGGTTATACAAATTTAGAAACATAAATAAAAAAAATATTATTGTAATCACAAACATTTAATTTTTCAATTTTCTTGCTTCATCTTTAACAATGTATTTATCTAATTGCTTTTCAGAACTTGCATCAAACTGAGATAGCTCACGAAATTCTTTATCTCCAACAAAACATATTTCATGACCATCCTAAAAAGTTATATAAATTGATTATTTCACATGGATTTCAATCAAACATTTATGATAAAAAATAACTTATTGTAGAATAACAAATAAAATAAAATAATTTAATATGCTCTGAGGCAATGAAACTTACAGGATCAGCAAAAATCACAACAGAAACTGAAGCTTTTCCTGGTGTGTCTAAGGTTACAAAAGGAGTTAAAATTTTATATTGATTATTTATAGCATTTTCTTGGTAACTTTCTAACTCAGATGTAGGAACTGCAAATGCTATTCTTCCATATCCTGTGGCATGGTTAATAGGCTCTCCTGAAAAAAATGATAATAATATACAGTATTTAATTGACAATTTTTATAATAATATATATACTAGCTGTTTAACCTGACTTTACCCTGGAAAAAAACTACTTACTAAAGTTTCTTGATATCTCTAACGATAATCAGTAAAAGTATCTTTTATTTTTTAAACAATGGCAACCCTATAAATATATATATATTTTTTTTTTACCAAATTTTTCACACATGTTCCTTGAGACCAAAAGTTTATAGCTTTATATTTATATATATAGGGTACACAAAATTCCTGTGTGAGCCCTTCTAGCCCTATAGGTTGAAAAATAAAGCTATAAACATTCGGCCTCAAGGAATATGTGTGCAAAATTTGGTGTCAACCTTAGGCGCACATAGGGGGGTGCTTGGGGGTGCTTAGCACCCCCAAGCTTCAAACCAGCACCCTCAGTTTATTTCGGTATTTCACCAATCATTTATAAACTATTGTGGTTTATTGGTTCGCAATTTTTCTTTTTATTACAAATATTGACAACTGTTTACGAATTCACGATTAAAACAGTATTGTGTGAATGCATGGTTCAGTGTTTCAGTTTTTGTCAAAACATTAAACAGTATGTAGCAATCATATTATATCATATCATTATAGAAAATTATATTATCTTACTGGTTATTTATATTTCCATTTTCTATGCATGATAAAATTTTCTAAATATTTTGAGTTATTTTGAGGTTTTTATGGACATTTTTAGTTTCCATTTTGTTTAGTTTTTTTTTCTATAAGTATCAATAAAATTTTATTTGTTGGGTATAAAAGCTTAAAAATGTAATAGAAGGCTCCTAATATATTGTTTTCAAATTTTATGAAAAATAAAAACAAAGTTACACAGTAAATTTTCTCATTTTTATAGTGTGAACGTTTAGTTTCTTACTTTCTTAGCTTAGAGTACAGCCTTAAAGTTTTTTTATACCCGTGCAAAACAGTTTTGCCTATGTTGTACCTACGTTTGTAATACAGAGACAACACATGTTGGTGTACCTAACGTCTTCTGTACAATCATACAGACTATTTGATACATTGCACTTTAGATATTATTGAATACACTATACAAATAAAATCTAATGCAATACAGAAATATTAGGATTTAGGGGGGTGTGGGGGGCAAAGCCCCCCACGGATCTGTGAATCATAAATTATTCCAGCACCCCCTAAATTCACACCCAATGTGCGCCTATGGACTGTCAACTGGTTCAGTTTAGTATCCAAGTCTATAAGCCCCATCCAAACGTACATTAATTTTTTTTTATACATAATATTATAAAACAGTATATAAGAAAAAAGTAACCATATTTAAAAATTTACCAATATCTCTTAATTTCAATTTAGCTTGATCTTCACCAAATCCTAATTCTATTGAAGATTCATTTTGATTGAAAATATTCAAGCCAAGTATTCCGTTCCAAAATTTCATAGATTTTGTCAAATTTGTAGATGATAACATTACATTTACAACAGGATCTAAAAAAATACAATTTGATTATTAACATAAAATTAAAATGTAAAATCTTATAAAACACAGTTCTTTATGAAATCAAAAAGACAACTTATACAAACAATTTACCAAACAGTTTTTTCAAACAGTTACATAATTATTTTCATAATAATTATCTTTAAGATGAAGAATAACATCTGTTTTTCATAAAGTGCGTAATTAGTATAATGTATAAAAAACACAAATGTTAATTATACAAATGTAATAGAGTACTACTACTAACATATCATTTAAAAAACTAATAAAAGAATAAAATACATAGCTGAATGTAAGATTTAAAATGTTACTAGATACAAAGAAAATAGGATCTTAAAATTTAAAAAAAATTAATATTCAATGTAATGTATGGTGTATATAGTTTTATAGATATATGCCTATATTATGTACAACTGTAGCATTAATAGTTGGTTTATAATAGCTATTGGTAGATTGGATTATTTATTTTTCCATAATAAAACAATAGAATGCCAAATATGACAACCAGATATCAAAAGATGTACAAAATTGATAAAAATCTTAAACACTACATGATAAAAGAATAAAATAAATTAAACAAAAACAGATATTCAGTAAAATAAAAATGTGCACAAGCTTTTGTTTTAAGAGTACCCACAGCTATAAATTATTTAAAAGTTTGAAACACATAAAACTGTGATTGTTAAAATGTAGGTAGGTACACAATAAATAGTTACATAATTTAGCCGCATACAAATTATTCAAATATAAACAAGTTGATCTATTTGTATTGTATAATTCTTATCAACGATTTAGTTTTTATATTTTATACCTAGTAGTATAAGTTTTTACTTTTTATAATAATATTTTAAAATCATTGAGAATTATTGTCAATTATAAAAGTATTGAATGTTTTGTTTTACATTAATTTATTGAATTTCTAGTACTTGAGTTATGTCAATTTATATAAAAACATTTGGTTCCATACAATTCAGAAAATTACAATATTACAATATTTCATCATAAACCATGGTATAAACATGTTAAATAATTTCTTTTAAGTTAAATCCTAAAAACGTTTAACTTACATACCTTTATCAACAGGTTGAGGTTCATCAATCACATAAAACTTATATCCTCCCGGTGCTACAACATAAGACATATTGTCCTCAACATCAACAGGCCAACTGAGCGATTTAGCATTTTCTAACACTTTTGAAGATTTTAATGTTATTCCAAGGAAATCATTTCCAAGTTTGTAATCATCAACTCCATAGTTGTAGGTAAGTTCAATTACAAAATGAGTGTCTTCTGGTCCATATCCGACCATAGTCTTACTCCAACGGTTGTCATATGGTCTAATAAAATTGAATTGATAGAAATTATGTAAGTACTTGATTATATAACAAATAATCTTAGACTGAATATCTTATATAGTTATATTATTATGTTTAATGCACTTTAACTAAAAAATTACTAACCCGTTGCACGCCGCTTCACAGCCTTGAGTGAATTCTTCATGCCTCAATATCTATAAAAAAAAAAAAAAGGTTAATAAACATTGAAGTAACTTGTTCATTTTTAGAAAATAATTACTTTCATTCCCAAAAGTTCTCTGAAAAACTTAATGGTTTTCGTTCTCTCGGCTATTTTAAATACGAAATGTAATGCGCGACAAGTCATCTCTATATAGAGTCACAGTAGATTATTTTGAATCAACGAGAAAAAATTTAGTATTTTTTTACTATAATATTGACTTCACAAAACACGACGTATAAAATACTTACTTTCAAAACGAACGGAAACCAATTATTACAGTACCAACTAAAGTAGTATAATAATAGTAGTTACTACTTTACTAGTTTAGTACCAAATACCGGACACTGGTGTACACACAACACACTACACCACAGTAAGTTGGAGGGGATCCGCTGACAAACCGGTTCGCTGTGGTTAATCTGAAATTAAAATGATTACGTCATCAAAATATTTTCGTGATACTTTATACTTTATACCTAAAGCCTAAAGGTACTTAGATAGACAGGTAGCTACTACTTATTATTTTCTGTAAAGAAAAAAATCAAAACATCAAGCTTTAAAAAAAATATTCATGCAATCATACAACGATAAAGATGTAAATAACATTTATCCACAGTCCACACAGTCTAAGTACACCAAAATCTGTGTGTATTTTTTTCGCTATTATAAACATATTCATTACCAAAATGTCTGGTACAGATGTGTAATTAGGATTTAGGACTTGGTCCGAAGGATTTAACTACACAATATTATCCGCTCAAGTGATATTAGAATTAAACATTTTTTAAATCACGTAGGTACTTCGAAAAAGGATATTATCTTTTTTACGTGTATCGCAATTAGAATAATTAGATAGATAACAAAAAAAAAAAAGTTTTTTTTCACTCATACGATGCTTATGCCAACAAACATACTAATATATTATTTTTTATTTGTACATTAAATAAGTATATTCCATGAAACTTTTACATAATATTAAATAACTAATAATGTAGGTACTCAATATAATAAAAAATATGTGTAGGTACGTAAAAGCTCAACTTTACGTAGTTTCCGCGCTAAATAATTATTCAACAGAAATTTGAGCATAAATCAACAAGACTATATTTTTCGAACGCATGTTATTATTTTTAATTCTATATTTATAATTATGATAAATATTGTAATGATCTCTATGACGATTCATAGATAGTTTATTCTAAATTTAATCAGAATAGTGCCTAATTCACAATAATAGTATAAAATATCAATATATTGTTTTCTGACGTTATGATCGAGGCATAACTGTTTTAATTAATAATTAATAAACAGTACAACATAAATCATTATGCATTCTGTGTCTGAAACAGGCAACGATAATGCAAACAAATATTTCATAAATATTGACTTTGGTGCTGTCCCAGTTGGTTCTGTTCGTAAAAGATCAATCGATATAACTAACGATTTAAAAGCAAGTTCATATTATTTTTTGCAGTTCTTTTTAAAAAGTTCTATGTACTATGTTTATAATATATTATTATATACAACTATATTTGTATCTACTATTTATTCAATGGTTTTGCAAAATATCTTTCTAAATTCTAAGTTGGATAAAATATAAAGCTTGTTGACATAAAACCAACGAAAGAACCAACCTATATGATTATTTTACTTTTAAACATTGAAAATAAGTATGTTTGTATTTAATTTATTTATTGTTATGTTAGTGGTATTACATGTAATTTTTTTATACTGGGAGCCTATATATTATGGAAAATGTATTTGTTGATATGTAGGTACCTATACCTCGTACATAATAACATGTCAAAAAGAGAACATCGACAAGAAATAATGTACACTTTATTATTATTATTTATTTTTTAGAAGGTCACAACATTTAAAGTAAAAAATAATAATGAATCTATGTACTTGGCGGATTCAATCGAATTTGAGCCGGCAAAAACGCCAAGAATATTTCCAAACAAAAAAGCAACTTTTACAGTTATATTTTATCCAAAATCTGAACTCATACAAAATACATTAGAGTACTTCACACTATTTTCGACAGACGATCAAATTAAAACGATTAATGACGATGTTGCCGAATGTGAATCACAGCAGAGTGAACACGGTGATGCCAAGATAATACAAAAAGTCACAGTATGCGTACAGGGATCATGTTACGGTAATTACAGCAGTTAGTCACTAAATAGTAAATATTAAATATTGAACAGAAGTCATCAATTATAACGAATTAAAAATTAATCATAGTTGTGTCGTGTGTAATACGCATTATACAAATTTCGTAGGGTTTCGTAAAAAAATATGGTGAAATAGGCGAATATAACTATGATGACACCATTTTAGTTAGGTATATAAGGTATAGTTAGAACTGTACAGTATAAACATAAATAAAAGGGTACATTCATTTATCATTATAATCATAAATACCTATACTAATTCTATATTATAGTGTGTTATATATTAAAAGGTCGTAGGGACCATATTGACCTAATGTTCAATAAAAGATAATATTAAATTACCAATACAGTACACAGTATGCAATTTGTATTTGTCAATTACATTAAGGCCCATCGGTGAAAATTTCACCAACCAAAGTGTACATGTGTCGATCGGGAGGAGATGGGCCATCTGTCAAATCCGTAAACCTAATAAACAGTTCCAAAATGCCTGCGCAGTATCACGTACAATACGATTGGGAGAATTGTCCAATAATATGTCATCCATCGTTTGGAGTCATCCAAAATCGTGTTCAGATAAAATTAGAACTGAAACCCGTTCAAATTGGATATTACTACAAACGACTTTACATTCTGATCGCGTACCACGTAAGCTCTATAATAAATTATAATACATATTATATAGTGGCTATATTATAATATATATTATATGTAGCCACGTAGCCACTTATTTTTTTCATAGGATACACACTGCCCACTGGATGCAGTACCGTCCTAATGCCCTAAGTCCTAACTGATTACGATGTTAAATAATAATATATATTTTTTTTTTTATTGAGTTAAGGATTCGACATCTATGGTCATTAGTCTGGAGGTTATTTTAGTCGGTTTTTAATGTGAGGAGGGGTAATCGGGTAATCGGTCAAAAAGTCAGGGGATAAAAAGTCCATTACCTATGGAAAAATTTGGACAAAAAGACCGGATTCATTTTTTGATTATCAGACAATAAGTCCGAGCACATTTTTACTGTCAGACAAAAAGTCCGAAAATACAAAATTGAATCTGGACTTTTTGTCCAAATATTTTTATAGCAGACTTTTCGTCAGGGATTCGTGGGGAGCGTACGGTTTGGAACACGTGTATATGTGGCGAAGATTTGTCACTAAAAACCCGGGTGATCCGGGAACTGGCGACACAGACTGATGCTTGGTCTTTACACGTATTAGTGACTGAGGCCAACCACCAGGCCACTAAATAATAATAATATGTAATACACATTTAAGCAATTATTTAGTATTTAATATTTTTGATAGGTATTCTTAAAAAACTTTAAATTTGTATTTCATTGCTTAACGGAAACTAACAGTAATGAATTCCATTAGCCATTAGAGAATAAATGATTTTTTCAAACCCAAAATATGTTGCATTATTATTAAAATTAAAAATAATTATAATATCAATAAATGATTTCTGATCAAGAGAAAAGTATATAAAATGTTTTTTTTTAATCAGATGATGACATTTAAAAATGTATTCCAAGTTATAAATATTTTAAATGAAACCAATAAAAAATAATTTTAATTTACTTTATGGTTTACAACATAGATAAGCTAGGTATTATACTATTATGCATTATTATTTTTGTTTTATGATCTTTATATTCATATATTTTAATTGTATCTTTGAAATATCTCGACAGTTATTATAATATAGGTAGGTACTATTATAATGACGTATACTTTATTAAAACTAATCGAGCTTTAATACTCTACATTATATTATATACCTATATACAAATATCAATATATCATAATATATAATGTACGAAGCCGTTATAGTTATCACCGATTGGTAGAAATTCAAAAATCTTAACTTTTTAGTCGGTTCCACATCGTACATTGTAAGATAGCCACATATAATATTATGTTATAGCATCCCGTTTACGTTGACATATACGCATTTTCTGGTACAATGAAAATGGATCCGTTTTCGTACTTCAGGTCACCGTTTGGACCATTGCCAAAATCCGAAAACAGATACGCCGAATTCTTTAAAGACGTCGCGCACCCAAGGAACGACATACAACACCGAGTAACCGTGTCACCGAAAGAATTACGATTCGGTTACGTTAAGAATGCAAAATCCATAGTCTTTAACGTACGCAATGATTCCGACACGCCACTTTACATAAATTGGATACACGGTTAAGTATTAATTATATTCGTCGAAAATTGTCGTATACCCATTACCAAAAATCTGTCCAGTACAGTCAAATATGCACATTGCACATATCACATATTATCTAATGGACTATAATGGTTAAATATTATTATTTATTACAAAACTTTATTTTTAAACGCGTGTTCGCTGTTATCAGAATTCTCAGAAAAACGCTTAAAAAAAAATCAAAAAATATACATTTTCGCATGATTTTCATCTATTTCTATTTAAGTATTTAACAATACTTTCTTTCGATCATAAACGAATATATACGGTTGTCAAATCTCAATGACAAATTTAATATAATTTATCACATATTTATTTTCTTCAACTTATATTATTACTTTAGGTAGGTACTCTGCTATACCAACCTACATTTCATTTTATTGCAAAAACGAGTTGATACCTACTTCAGAACTTCCTGTAACTTGTAACAAACTAGTGGTAGGACTGTAGAAGTCTAATTATGACACTAATGAAACACCTATATTACACATACCTATTGGTTATTGACCTTGTTGTGTATTTTATACTTTAAAAATGTATATTAATATTTTAGCCCCTCAAGTTAATCATAATATTATATAGAAAACAAGATATCATATTGAATGCAAACACAAATTACAAGGAGACCTGGTAGCAGTGGTTAACAGCGATTTACACTATAGACTTAAAGCTTTTATGCCTAAATATTAACTCGATGTATATAATAATATATTCTCTATCATACACAGAACCCGGTAGTGATAACCCGTTCACGATAAGTCCAAAACAGTTTTATATCTGTAGCCACGATACGAAAAGGTTGAAATGCGTTTTTCGACCAAAAATTGTTTCGAAAATTTACTTTGTTGAGTTCGAAGCAACCGTCCATTTCGGAGCCGCCGACCCTCCACGGCCGTTGAATTGTTACACTAAGTACGACGCATTTCCGAAGCCCACATATGTCGCTCCGATGAGCATTTCAATAACGGTCACCGGTACGCATACAGAAAGGGTGATATATTTAACATAAAACACTAGTATGAGTATAAATAATATACAATAATACCAACGTTTGTGAAAATGTTCCTTTTACATAATTTTAAGTCGTTACAAAAGAACATTTTAGGAAAAATCTAATATTTTTTTTACTCTTTTGAATGACAACATACATTTTAAATTTCATATTCCGAAGTAGAATATTACTCGGAGTATTTCCGATATATACAAATAAAATTTCTAACAAGGAGTTTGTTAGTTATAACTTATAAGCAGTGGCGCCGAATCCGTGTATCAAGGGGGGCAATCGCCCACCTTCTTTGAATGGGTGGGTGGGTCGTGGGTAGGTGGGTGTTTACTGTGTAGAAAATTTAAGTATTATGATTGAAAATAATATTGTTCATCTGTTCATCAGTATTTTAGATATACTATACCTAGTATAGTATGAAGTGTATGTGTACACAGATTATTATTCTACCCGTATAGTAGATACTGTTCTAACTTTTATTTGTAGCCAATACTTAGGTTTAGGTAGTAGTTTGTATATAAATAAAATCTTTATCATAAGACATGGTTTTTCAATTCTTCGAGACTAGCGTCCCGCGTCTGTCTATGACAGTGATTCCCAAACATTTTATATTTACCGCCCGGCGCCTACTTGTAAAAAAAAAGTGGCAGATGCCCCTCCCCTAACATAAAAAAAATGTATTGGTACATAAGTTCTCAATACAAAATTAATTAAGCTTGTAACTTGTAATTTGTATTGCTCCCCTGGATAGCCTCATCGCCTATGAGCAAAATACCACAACTCGCTAGCCATATGCACTGCTGTAGATTTTTCTAAGTATTAATATTGTACTAACACTGTCAACGATCACAATTATTATTCACCTAATATAGTATAATATAAATATGAATATTATAAATAATTAGGTACTTTTATTTTTTTTTCAATTATTTGTTTAATGGTTCAATTTTTGATTAATATTTAATATGCCAATAGACGGCAGCGCAGTGACCTTAGTGCGTTAACTATTAGTATAGCAAAAAATTAATTAATTTTCCAATATTATGTTATTTTGAATTGTTACAAGCAAGACAAAAATAAATATAATATTGCGGGCCGCACGTTAAGACATCGGGTCTTTGGCGTTATCAGTAAATTAACAACTGTATTAAAATCACCAAACAAATAATGCTATAAATAAACGGATATTGATTATCATAGACTACGACGATATGTCGATATGACTACTACGAATATTATACAATATTATACAGTTTAAACCCGTATTTTACACAAAATCAAATAAAGTGTGACTTAGTGGCTTAACCAATAACCAGACAGGTCTCCCTCTATACTCTGTACCAAATAAGAGCGCACCGCGTTGGCGCATCCAAATGAATCGCGGAGCGACGTCTGGACCCCCTGGTCGAGTCTATTCGCTCTGTGATTGGTCGCCGATCGTCGGTCGGATTCGCCGCCGTCGAGAATACAGGGAGCTGAAGTAATAATGCGTTTCACGCGTATTAATCAGTAAAATAATACACATACTTTTCGTTTTTTTTTTCTTAACATAGGTATTGAACTCAATATAATATTAAAAACATTCAAAATATTCACCAATGCCCGCAAAAAATATAACAACGTCTAACCACGTATACCGTTAAAATTGGTGTGATATAATACAACACTCTGTATTCAGAGTTGACCTGGCCGGCGCCGGAATATGCTGCGGCAGCGCTCTCTGACATGCGCGAGTTTCGACCGGTTTTCGTGCGCCGCCCGGTGCGCTCTTATTTGGTACAGAGTATAGTGTGCTGTTTGCCTGTGCCAGGCGGCAGGCGGTGTATGCGATTCGGTTGAGTGAATGCAAAATTGTTATTTATTATTATTTTTATAATTTTTTATCGTCGTGGTGCATTGAAATATTTGAAATTATAATACTTTATTATGGACTCACGCGTTTGTGGCTTTTGTCGTAAAGATAGAGGAAGTCTAAATCCAACTAATTGGAATCGACATTTACAAGCTTGTAAAAATAAAAAAATTAAAACTAATAGTAGTTTTAATATTAAGCAGTTTTTTACTACTACAAGTACAAAAGGTATGTATATTTTTTATTATATTTAATTAGTAAATATATGATATTATTAAATTGTATTTGTTGATATACAACGTCTAGTATTTTGATTTACCAAATTTGTAAATTTGTACAGTATTTTGTGGTGTAACCAGTGTGGACTAATAAATAATTTAAAGATTTAGTGGTATTATTGACTAAGTACTCCCCCGCATTGTCTTCTTATGTTACTCAGCTACAATTAAAAGGAAGAAAGATCCATAACTTTTTGTCTTGGCAACGCCAAAATCAATTAATTAAATCAATTTCAATGCACATTAAAGATACCATACAAAAAGAACTTCTAGAAGCAAGATTTTTTAGTGTGTCCCTAGACACAACATTTGATGTTTCTAGGAAAGAACAGTTATCTGTCATATTAAGGTATATTAATAAAAACACTGTTGACTGTATAGTAAACGAGCGACTCGTGGCAGTTAGAGAGACTGCGACTACAACAGGACAACATCTTTTTACTATGCTTGAAGAAATATTTAACGAAATGAATCTTGATTGGAAAAATTACCTTGTCGGGCAATCCTATGATGGAGCCGCTTCCATGAGAGGTGTGTATAATGGTTTACAGGCAATAGTAAAAGAGCACAATCCATATGCTATGTATGTTTGGTGCTATGCGCATCGTCTAAGCTTAATTATTGTAGATGCAGTAAGTAGTTGCACAGAAGCAAGAGACTTATTTGGTAACCTTGAAGCATTATATGATTTTATTGGTAGTAGTAAAAAAAGAGTAAACATGTACTCCAATTATCAAAAAGAAAGATATCCAAATAAACAATTAAGAAGGCTCAAAAGAGTAGAAACAACACGCTGGTCATCACACTCTTCTGCACTTGAAACAGTATTTGCAACATTTAATGCAATTTTGGACACACTAGAATATTTAGATAAAGATACATCTTCAGATCGCATGAGTAGTATTAAAGCAAAAAGTTTATTTGATTATCTGATATCAGAACGTTTTTTTTTAACTGCATTGACCTTTAGAAAAATGTTTGATATTACAGGTCCATTAAATTTATATTTGCAGGGGAAAAATATTGATTTGTTATCAGCTGTATCCTATGTTAAAAGTGTACAAAAGAAAATAAACTTGTTTAGAAATGATACTCAATTTGAAGCAATAGTGAAAGAAAAAGAAATATTTGTTAATACAAATGTTGTAGACTTTGATATAATACCACTTACACAAACCCGTATGAGAAAGAAAAAAAAAATGCCAGGAGAGACATCATCAGATGAACTGCCAAACTTAAGTCCAATTAACAACTTTAAAATAAATACTTACTTTACTGTTATTGATATAATAAGTTCTCAAATATTTGAAAGATTCAATAACAATTCAAATCCTTTAATAAATGATTTATCACTTTTTAACAAAAAAAGACTTCTAGAAATAACAAAATCGTCCAATTTGCCTAATGACGCATTTAATGGATTTCAACAAGTTTATGGGAAGTTTGTTTTTGCTGAAGACTTGAGAAGAGAATATATGCAATTTGCAAATGTATATTTAGAGTTAGAAAAAACATTGTCGTTGCCAAAAACATTACACCAACAAAATAATACACAGATTAAAAATTATGAATTTGAAGCCAGTGGTACTGAAAGTGAAGTAGAAGAATTTACTGATGATGATTCATTGGAAACTCCTAATAGTGAAGGTACTATTCACATGATGTATAAGATATGTAATGAGGCAGGTTTGAAAGAAACATTCCCTGCTTTATACACTGCTTTAAGTATTGCACTGACTCTCCCTATATCAAGTGTTTCTCCTGAAAGAACGTTCTCAAAATTAAAACTGGTGAAAACAAGGCTTCGAAGTACAATGAGTGAGGACAGGCTTGAAGCACTTTTGATGATGTCTTGTGAATGTGATATTCCAATTGATGTAGACACTATCATCAAACGTTTTGCATCATGTAGTACAGAATTGTCAAAATTATTATTGTAATGTATATTTTAATAATTCTATTATTGAGTTATTTATATTATTTAAATTTAATCATATTATTATATAAGTATAATTTATATTTAAATAATTTGTTTGGTATTCAATAAAAAAATTTTATAAATGCTCATTTTTAATAATTATTATTGATAATAAATTCTCTACTTATGGTTTAAAGGTAGGGGGTGTGGGGGGCGAAGCCCCCCACGGCTCTGTTTAAATTGCTTGGGTGGGTAGGTACTTTTTGGATTCTACTGCCCCTCCAAATAAAATTTAGTTCGGCGCCACTGCTTATAAGTATTTAAAGTGTAGACGAAGCTGAGTAGTGGACCAACATTTTGTGAGTACCCCTGAGCTGTACTACTCCATTCCACCCCCCAACAACAAAACTTTAAATACTTTTAAGTTATAACTCATAAACTACTTTTCTAAAATTGTATACATCGAAGTATACTATGAAAAATATTTTGCTTGGGAATAAGGAATTTAAAAAATAATTGATGTGATTAAAATAGTAAAAATATCAAAAATGTTAACAATAGGAAAAATATTGTTTTCAACGACTTAAAGAAGTGTTAAAATAATATGTTCGAAAACTTTGTGTTTTCCGAAATAATGAGTGTCTTGCATTATATGAATAATCCAGTACACATTTATAATATAATATGTATACCTAATGTACTCGTATTCAAGTCCCCTTTGCCCATGTTGATCGAAGCGATGACATCGGCGTAAGCGTAACTATCTATTCTCAAATAAAATTGTACTGATATCCAGGCCATTCTTCCGAAAATCCTTTTATCGGATGGAAATCGACATGTAAACTTAAGAACAACGTGATAGTAATGCCGCCGACTGTGCCGGCTTCTAAGCCCGTATTTGCCACGCTGTTGATTAAAAGAATCATCCGAGTGCCGACGACGTTTGAATTACGACCGCCTAATAAATCGTAAGTAATAAAATCGAGAGGAATAATGTATATTTTTTGCTTATTTATAACTTATAAGATATAACCTCGGATATAACCTTGATATATTATTTGAGAGAATATTTCATATAATAATTCCTACCCACTAATTGTACGGGTCACCGGTGTAACTGTGTAAGGATATCGATTATCGATTTATAGTTATCACTTATCAAATGGCAAAATCTATTTTTTTTTTTAAATTTTAATTGAAAAAGAAAAAATAACTAAAATGGTTGGAATTTTGAATGAGCCAATTTTTCAAAAAATTGAATAAACAGTAGTTAGGACTGTTAGGAGATGCTTTGTGATGGTATATTTTGCTTATAAATAGTGATTTTTTATATAGGCATGTACTAAGTAGCTTATATTTTGTATACAGCATATAAAATTATATCTTTGAAAACAAGTAAGAATCTTTTTAGTTGTAATGTCATAAGCGACATAAGCTATAAAGTATAAAGTAGTATCATAATATTTAGTAGGTATAACCAGTTTAATATCTAGTAAAGTAGGTATAATAATAAAAACTTTTGTCTTAAGTTTTAATAATCAGTGTTTTTCAGAAGAAAAAGAAATCATTAAGAGGCCAAAGAATCTAAAATAAATTAGTAATACATTTTAACATTTATTATACTAAGGGCCGTTCTTAGAATATCGGATTAAACCAACACTTAACCGGCCGAATTCTGGCGGTAATAAAATCTGTTATATTAGTTCTGCCAGTTAACGTTAACCAACACTAGAACGGCTCTAATTTTTATTGTTTTTAACAAATACTATAATTGAGTACATTAAATTGGAGGTTGGTAGTTGGTAGTTTCAATGCTATTGGCCACTATTATGATAAAGACTGTAAAAATGTTTTCATTATAGCAGAGGTCTAGTAAATGTTCCATCCATAATTTCGGGCTTCCGTCTTGCAGATGCAAGAAGTCCAAAATTAATTTATTTAATCAAAGAATAAACTGTATTACCACTATAATTTTCATAATAAGGATCACATATTTATGTATTTACTAGTTTTTAAATCAATAGCCCAAATTTAATAATATGTTAAGAAGTAACCAGTTTAGTAAAATATTTGTGTACCTAAAAGTTAACTTATTAAATAATTTTCTTAGTAAAATGGGGCCACTTTGATTTTGTGCGGCTACTTTGATACACTTATATTTTTATTCAGCATAGTACCATGACAATTTGATTTTTTTTTTCATAAAATGGAGTTACTTTGATATCACATTAAGAAATGTAAGTACAACGTTGTGTACCTTGAAAGCATTTTAAAAAGATTAATATTTCAGAAGAAACATCAGAAATTTGAAAATTAAAATGTTAAAAAAATTAAGCATTTAATAGTTGAAAATCATTAGAGTAAATGGCAAAATAAAGAGGAATATAGACTATAGAAAATATATTGTATATAGTAATAGCAGAGCAGAGGATTTGTCATAATTTATACAACCACAAAAATAATGAGTTAACGACAAAAAAGTGTTATGTTATGCTCTTTTCCTAGGACTCAGTGATCCAGATTCTGTGGTCGTTAAATTTTGAGGAGCGACTGAAATGCGATTTTGAGAGATTAAAGTGCATAATTTCATTAATTAATTTATAATTTATAATTAATATAATATTCACGGCACAAAATCTCTAGTGAATAAAATAAAATGGGTATATTCAATAATAAATACTTGAAATGTTAATCAAAAAAATAAATTTTTAGTAGGTAGGTACATAGCTATATACATGGGTACATAGCTATATACAAAAATGTATGTTTTGTGAATCTTAATTCTATAAGTCATCTACCTTAATAATAAATAATAAAAAATTGAATTACTGCCAAACGGTATCAATTATTACCTCAATAATACTTGACACAAATCCAAACGCAAAACAATAACTTCAAAAAAAATTTAAAAATTGAACATACATTCGAAGAAACTGAATTATCTTGTTATTCAACTCAATGTAAATGTACCAATTAATGTTAAGTATGACTAGTTAGGTAATAAAGGTTTACTTATTTTTTATGTTTACTAAAATTTCAAACAACGTTGAGTCTGATAACTGAAAAATACGGTCTAGACTTATAGCAAATACTTTAAAGTTAAAATGAGTAATTAAAAATTAAATGTAATTAGTTGTAAACTTGTAACTTTTAGTTATAAAACCGAAAACAACAATGATAATATGATAAGATATCAATTTTATGATTTTATCAAACAGTTTAACAGTATGACCATTTAAAAGGTTAGAATGATACTTTTAAATTGTATTAATTATAATTCATAATACACACATATTTTGATTATAATATGGGCTATATAAGCGGTATTTTTTGGACAAAAATAAAATAATTTTTTATAAGGTTTAAGATTCGGGGTGCCACCATTGGGTGACTTCCCCCTCCCGCTAATCAACCAACATCCTCTTTTCGACCAAGTATGATAAAATAGTTTCCTCTTTTCGCCTAAAAATAATTGCATTCTTTTCGCCCACGGTTTCATGTTCGACATTTTGGAAAGCACTATCTCAAAAATAAATTTAATAAAGCCATTTAGCATAACCCAGAGAACACCACCAGGAGACGGCTTCTATTACTCTCCAAAAATGTATTTGTGTTTGTGGCTTTGTGCCCATTAAAATAATTATTATATAATATAAAATAGGTTAATAGGTATGTATTTGTCATTAGTTGTTATGACGTCGTTAAAAAAATGTAATGTCATGGATTAGGATTAAATTTTTTGTATAGTTGAATGATATTGATTTAAGAAATTCATACCGACTTATCTCTCCTCTATTGTACTGTTGTATTTCCGTATTTGGCCAAACAGTTTGTATAGCTTTATGTATTGCATATTAAAAATCAACGGTGATAGACGTACCTACACCAAGGCTATTACATTTTCGGTGATTTTCTTAAATAAAAATTCATATGTTTGGACCGATTTATTAACTAACAGGCAAAAAACTAATGGTATATAATGACCATTTGTATATCCATGAATAGTGAACATTTGTTCAAAAAATCTTGCAGAATATTTAAACGTGCCATCGACGTATACGTTTTCAACATGGCTCCAGAAATGTAAATTTCTTTCACATGAAAATATAATTACATTTTTATTTTCATCGTTATCTAATACAAAATGTTCATTTCTTACAGTTTTTATTTCGGCTTTGGCAATATACTGATGAACTTAATTTATATTAGTAGGATTAGGAGGAAGGACTTTTGCACGATATTTATACATATTGTTCCTTAACCTTTTTATATCATGTACGTTTAAATATGACGTCGCGTCGTTTTGAGCAATTTCTTTTAATATAATTTTTTTTGGTCTTGTAAGGAGATCTTCTATTGCTTTTCGTTTGCATGCCGTGTTGACTATTTGGCGATTAATATTCGATTCATCATATTTATTATGATAATGTTCTCCGACGGTTGAAGAAAATGCATCATTTTTATCTGTATATAATTTTGCATCACACATTCTTGTTACACATCTCCAACGGGTAGAGCCATCTTTTTTACTAGTTGATCCAAAATTTAACTTAAAATGTTTATAAACAACCATGCGTCCACCCCTTTTACTTTCTAAAAATTCTAAAACTTCCATCACTCGAAAAACACGAGGAAAAAACTTAAAGAAAAAACACAAGCGCCTTTTCAGTAGGATAGTGAACGCAGAAAGACATACTAAAATTAACATATAATTACACCGCAATACCGACAACTGCCTCATATATTATTTGTTATATTATATCGATAGCACTTTTATTACGTCCGTTTGTAGATAATAATTCCGATATCAGATATACACAGACGAGATTGTCACAATCCATACCAATTAGCATCGATATTATATCAAACATAAATCATTTTGAGACAGTGCTTTCCAAAATGTCGAACATGAAACCATGGGCGAAAATAATGCAATTATTTTTAGGCGAAAAGAGGAAACTATTTTATCATACTTGGTCGAAAAGAGGACTTGGGCGAAAAGAGGAAGGTCATTTTTTGGTGAAAAGTATACCGCCCGTAAGGCGTAAATACAGATTGTAAATAAATTTTTGTTCAATAAAAAAAAAAAGATGTAAGATACCTTTAACTTTTTTGTATATCTTAAGACTTAATCGAGGTTAATATTGAAATCTAATACCAGCGGAAAAATGGCAATTCTATCTTTATTTATTTATTAATTTGTATATTATACACATTATTTGGTCGGTCATATTATACGACTCATATGGATATGGACGGCAGTAAGACACTATGGTCTATGAGTTATGAAGCACTGATGTTAAATATTTACATTATAGAATGTTCTTAGCAAAACCCATGATGGGAATGATAAATAGCGATTACCAAATTGTAGTGTTTCAACTGATGAAAACGAGCAATAAAGAATCGCTTTTCGCCGAACGGTGGAGCATAGTGTTCGATGGTTTCAAAAATAATTTGGTACAGTATCTATATTAATAAATAATTATTAATTAATAATATATCTACTAATTTCGATGTCAGTGGCATATCTATATGACTATATGGTTTGATGGGTGGATGAAGCAATCTCCCCTTTTTTAAATGAATCATAATTCATAACTCATAAGTAATTGTCAAAAATAACTCATCACTTTGGTAGGTACTTAAATTTTAAGACTACTTTAAGAAGTCGAACGTCATGTTATATTATATAAGATAAATAAATGTTATTGAAAAAATATTTTCGACACTGAATAACTACACTATAGGTAATCGATATTCGATATTTTTGTTTGATTATATAATTCTAAAAAGTGGGTTGCGTCCATTTGTTTTTTGTGTAGCATAGAGGGCGTATATCAAGGACTTATAGCTTCTATATAATCTAACTGGCCTTAAACGAGAGCTTTCACTCCACCCCAACACAAACAATTACCGAAATGTATATGGAGTCTAAAATGCGACACTGTACAGCGAGCATGGTGTAGATAGGTAAATTCGATCAAAATAGAAAACCAATACCCGGTTGCAGGTCACCATAGACATCTACGCGAGCTCGGAATTCGGATGCGTGACGATCGGCGAGCGGAATCGCGTGGAAGTGCCGAACGACGTCCAAGTGGGGTGCGAAATGCGGGACGAGTGCGTACCGATAGTCAACACGACCAGACATTGGTTGCGGTACTGCATAGATGTGACCGGTGAGCATCACTCGGTAAACAACGAGCTGATGGGGTTTCAGTCCACTAAACGTCGTTATTCGTGGGGTTCGTTGGTCGAGCAAGAAATCGATAACGAAGAGAACGGTGTTGAATCAGAAATCGATGGCGAGTCGGAAAACGACGTCGGATCGGAAAACTACGATGGTTCGGAAAACGACGATGGATCGGAAAAAGACGACGGATCGGAAAAAGACGACGGTTCGGAAAACGATGGCGGATCGGGAAATGACGATGGATTGGAAAAGGACGCCGAACCGCAAAGTCGTGCCGCATCGGAAAAGCACGTCGGACCGGAAAATGACGCCAGATCGGAGTACGCCGAGCCGGAGGGGGAAGGAGAACCTGAAGATGACGACGAGAGTTCGTCGACGGCGACGAATCGGAGCTATGCCATGTATTCAATCACATCTTCGATGGCGTCTCCGACGAAGTTCGGACGACAGTCGTCGATGTGGCTGGCCGGATTGGAGAAGACGAAGCCGTGGCCGTTCGTGTTTGAGTTCGATGAGGTAGTCGGCGAATTGGGACCCAACGAAAGACGCAACTTGCGGCTGTCGTTCCGCCCGACGTCGAACCTGACGTACACGGCCGACGCGACGTGCTATTTGACTTGCGACCGCGACGACTATCCCAAAATCGTCAACGCGCTACCCGTCACCATCGACGGCACCGGATGCAAAACGCAGTTCCAGGTGAGCTTAAAAACCGTCACCATCAATCACTGTCGAGTGTATAAATTATTAAAATATTTTCTAAAAACATATTTGGACGAATAACAAAGCATGATAAATGTGTACGTTACCTATAACTATTTAATAATATTTTCATAATACCAATATATATATTATAAATTGGTGTCTTTGAGGAGCATGGTGTATCGGTTATGGTATTTTTTTTCAGAACAATTCATATCAAGTATCATAATATTATATCCCACTGTCGAAAAATATCACATGTATATAGGTGGAGATTTGATATAACATGTCTCTATTATTATTATTTATTACCATAAATACGAGAAATTAAAAAAAAAAAAACATAAATAATAATTTTAATAGCTTTTAAGAAGACGCTAACCCGACGTTGTATTAATTTAAAATGCTCATAATAGGTACTCGCTTTAACATTAAAACATAAAACAATATATATGTCATCGACTAGATAATTTTCTAACTTCGAACTTTGGTAATAGATCAATTCACTATAAAATTAAACATATCAAAGTAAATTTAATTACCAGCTATTCAGAATGTGCAATTTGCTGTGTCATGCGCTTGTAAGACAGAAACAATCAGTACGCATTTGGGTATGCGTATGGCGTCCTCTTAATATAATATATATCTACAATTCTTTCAATATGCAAATATTTTCTAAGTGTAATATACTAATATAGAACAATTATTAAAACTGTTATGTAATGTTCTTGTATACGTAGCCGTATTTTGTTATTTGTATTGGGCATATAACAAAGAAAATGCTTTCGCAAGTAAATGTTGCCGTACTAGGTAAATTTGTAAAGACATAATATGGTTTTTTGTAAAATTTTAAATAAGTTATGGTATAATTGTATAGCTAATGTTTTTTTTTAAAAACCATCATCATTTATTTTAATTTTTGGCCATTCATGATTTCTTAACTGACTGATAGAGAACTTGGCAAATTTATGCAAAAATGTAAAAAAAAGTATTTTATTCACTGGATAGTGATAATAGCATGCAGATACAATAATTTTGACTTTTGAGGTACCAACGTTTTCCCCTTACATTCTATTAATACGAACAAACAAAACAAATGGTTTAATAATATAATTTATAACATAATATTCTTTCTTCGAAGAATAAACGGAACCTACTTTATTTCATCTTTGACTTTAGATAACGCCAGAAAATTGTTATTTGAACAATATGATAGTAAACGTGGAAAGAACACAACGATTTATAATTGAAAATAAAAATCGTTCTTACGCAAACATCAAATTTGTTACAACTCCAGCAAGTTCTATGATTTGGCCTACACCAAATTGTAAAATAAATCCACAAACTTTTCGATTCACGCCTCAGCAATATCAGTGTGTACGTTAATTATTTTTAAGTTTTAACCGTATATATATACAACAACTAGATAGCCTTCTTCTTCTTGTCATCGAAGTCGGCCGCCATTTACAAAGCAGGCAATGTTTACAAAATAATATTATCACAGTATATATGTATAGATAAATACAATGTGTTCCGTTGTGAAGTGACCGGTCAACATGTATACAACAATACAGTAGGTATACTCAAAATGATGAAGAAATACCCTTTAAAGAGTGGGTCTAACTTTTTATTTTTTAAGTTATGGGCTGTTAACTTTTTTTTATCAAAACCAAATCTATCACACATTTTTTTATGTATCTTCAAAACTAATCAACATTTTGACGTAATTTTTTTTTATCTTAAAGCTATTTAAGTGTTCTACCAACCAACGTAAGCAATTAAACCAGAAATGTACAAATTATTTTTATTAATTTGAAAAAGTAATTATTTTTATCAAAAATTAATATTTTTAAAAGTAAATTGCGTATAACTCCAAAAAATGTAGTATTTAGTATAGGTTTTTTCCTTATTGTATTATTCTGTAAAATGACAACATTACAACAAAAATGTACCGAATAAAATAAAATTAAACGATTAACGACCAATTATAAAGACCAAATGTAAAATGAATGTAAACATTGCCTGCTTCATAAATGACGGACGATTTCAATATTGGTCACAACTTTACACTGTAGTATAAAGACGGCTGTCTAGTTGTTGTATATATCTATGGTTTTAACATTCTCGGTGATAGCACTCGTAAAATTTTATGTTACGTTATTTTTAGAAAATGGATTTATCTATGTACCCTACAGAGTTGGGATTTCAAACGTTTTTCGTCAACATACAGCTTGATCCTAAAGTGGAATCTTATCCGGAAAACGAGAATACAATAACGGTCAGTATGAACGTCATAACGTGTGCACTGCAAATCTTAAGAATATCTAACGATTCTATACCTTATTTCGGAAGATTGACTTTAAACAAGCTTTTTCACTGCCTAAAGTAATTATAAAAAATATTAACAAGAGAGGTCGTAAGTGCAGTACCTAAATATTATATATATATATTAGGTATTATATAATATAAGCACAAAACTGATTACAGGATAAACAACGAACTCGATGAAGTTTACAAAAAAAATATATCACCAATAATATGGACTATACCTGTAATTTCTGAATCTAGCACTTTTGACATTCAGTTATATAATTATTCTAAAGTACCAATAAGTTGGGAATTAAAATACAATGAATGCATAAAATGCACATCGGAGAACAAACACAATAATAATAATAATCATAAGAACTGCATTACTCTTTCCAATAAATGTGTGCACTACAAGAGTATAAGAATCACTCCAACTGTAAACTTGAAAGTAATTAAAAACAAATTTCTTTGTAATTACTAATTACCTTTGTAGTATGTTTATTCTTAGTTAATCGATATAATATGTACTTGTGACAATGACACCGTTTTAGATGGACAATTTTTCAAAAATGCAAATTGAATTAAATACTATAAATAAAGATGGAGCTAATTTGAGTTATAAATGGTCGATTGGAGTCTATAAAACGTTATTTTATAACACTGAGTTGCTAATAGAACCTAAAACGTTCAAAGACGGTTTGATATCGTTTGATCCAAAATACGGAACAACCGAACAACTAGAATTCAATTTCTTACCAATATTCATAGCTCATCCTAATCCACCAGCACAAGTTCATTATGACATTATCTCGTTATGTAATCAATAACAGTATAATAATTATTTATACTTCGCAGGCTTTTTGGGTGTATAATAGCAATAATTACAACGTAACCTATTCAATAATTGATGATTCATTAACACCCGCGCATCCATACTTCCGTTGTTTAAACCCAAGTGGAGTATTCAACTCTAAATCAGTACATCCAATACTATTTGTATTTTCGCCGGACAGACTATGTGCATTTGAGGTAGTTTATCTGTTTATGTAACAAAATAACTTAATGATACTAAAAATATTTAAAATAAATAAATAAAATTATATTTTTACAGGCTACAATTATGTTACTAACAAATAGATATTACAAACGCCAAATAACCCTTTTAGGACAAGGAGAATCTTACACCAGAACCACTATTTCACCAGGGCATGGTTTATCATCATTTTTACCAATCCAAAATGATAGACAAATATTTTTATCAACAGAAAATATAATACTTACACCAATATTTACACTATCAAATATTAAATCCTTGTTTTGCCTTTATAATAACAGCGATGAAGAAATTATTTACGAGTGGAAAAAGTATGATTTTTTTATTTAATTGATATAGGTAGTTTAAAAATAATATGTATATAATGATAATAATACAAATTTAAAATATTAAAATAATGCGATGTAGGTGTACGGTCAATGACATTTTAACAGCTATTATATGTCCACTTAAAGGAAATTTAAAAAAACACGGAAGTCAAGTATTTGAAATATCAATTACCAGTTTTAATCAACCAGCTATCTTAACAATAATGTTGAATATTAGCTATAAATTAGTTTCTCAAATTGAAAATTATGAACGGTCGTTAAGAAACTATAATATAAATAAAGAAAGACTTGAAGGGTATTTTAAAATCGACGAATGCGGCAATTATAAATCAGTAAGAATTTTAAATGTCCATCTATATAATATATAATTCTAATCCAATTTTTATTTTTATTTGGCTTACTAAATTTTCACTTATCTAATCGAAGTAAAAAACTAAAAAATGCACGTATATTATTTTATGATGTATTTTAGTATTTATATAATAACGAATAAGATTAATTAAATTAAAGATTACAATTAACACGACGTATTCAATACACTGCTCACTGGTAATACATAAAAAAAAAACGGTTAAGTAGTTCTAATACCTACAAGGTGCAGATTTCGATTGTATCTGGTCATTGAGTAGGTCACTGTAATGGTTCTGTACATTTCTGATAAATCATTGCATAGGTACGATACACGGTTCAGGGTTCTATAAAAGCGGTGTCAGTCGCTATTTCTAAGGATATTTTATTTTTATAGAACTTGCTAATTTTTACCAAATAGTAAAAACGTCCCATAAATGAATAATATAATACCTATATTATTATTTAATATAATATTAAATAATACATTATTGTTACCTAGTTATAAGTTAATACCACGTACAGTGTTAATAACCTATACTTATTGGTGGTATAATAGGTTAAAATTTGTCTGAATATTTTGGCTCCCAAGAATAATTAATAATAAAAAAAATATAACGCTAATATTGTTTTCTGTATCGTTCTAGTATAGTGCATAAAATATGTAGTTTCTAACTATGACTGTGCATCTTGAGACTTGTGTATTTTTTTAACGTTATTTTTGTCTTAATACCTTGGTACATATAAATTATAAATATAGGAGCCTTTGCCTTCATTGTATTCGGGTATAGCTAATAGTTGATCGTTGATACTTGATGTAATATCAAAATTCATATTTTGATTATAAGTTTACACACTTACTTAATACCTATCTAGTATCTACTATGAAATCAAGCTATGAAAGTAGAAACCTATAAAATATACCTACTATGAAATGTTTTTAGAAATTAAACATGAAAATAGAAAAACAACCACAAGAAAAACATTTAGTCCTATATGTTCATGTTAGAATAATCGATGAATTAAGTAAATGGATAAATGAAGCAAAATATAACATAAGAAGGCACAATTTTCAACAAGAGAAAAGAATTATAAAACAAAAATTGGTCTATTCGGATAACTTTAAAAACATGCTATGGTAAATTTATCAATTTATAGTTAAAAATAACCATGATTTAATAAGGTTGCCCTACTATTGCAGGGATGTGGTAGATAAAGTTTGTTCAAAAGAAATTGAAAGTAAGCCATTATATTACCATCAATTGAAAAATTCAAAACAAAACCATCGAAACAATATATCAAAATCAACTAAAAATAACCTGGAAACTATTTTAACATCACTTATTAGAGACAGTTTGATTAGCATATACCCATTAAATACATGGAAATACTAATAATGACAATATTATACCTATATACATGCAACTATATATATTATTGCTTACTATAATACTTTCAAATTTCAATATAATAGATTAATTAATTATCGTTTAAACTAAATATTAAAATAAATCAATTTTTTTTATATATACGCCTCAAGCTCAATTGCTACACTTATTCAGTAAGTTTTTTACAAATTATTTTAAATATGACACATGAATAGTTATATATGTGATATATCTAAAACTATACATGTGTATAATGTTATAATATTGAAGTAGGTACTGGAGTAGGTTAGTCTCTTTGAGGAATTAAAAAAGAATCGATATCATCAGTTCTAGGTTGGGTGGTATAACCACATTATAATATTTCATACAGATTGCAAGGAAGCATCGGTCTATCTCTGGAGTCCTTCGTCTGGAGGCTTTCGGTTTGACTGTAATTGCGGTAATGAAAAATTAAATGCATTATTTTCATTTTTTTTTACTTACCTTATTTTAAAACCATGCAATATTTAAGGCAAGTTAGCAATTAACCTAGCCCAAAACAAATAATAGACACGTACGATGATTTTTCATAATATACGGTGACGGCGTAAGTATAGGTACATCCTATTGTTTGGGTATTAAGTACGGATTTTCGAAGGGCTGGTAAAACATTTAGATAGAAATTAAAAAGTTGTATACTTCATACAGTAGGTATATACATCATGTACGAGTAAAATTATTTGTGTTGTTGACACAAAGTGACTACATATAGTGAGGTTGTGGTATGTTTAGAGGTAGCCAGGTAGGTACTATAACTGTTGGTATAGGCCATAGGGGCATCTGGCATAAGCAACTAAATAGTAAATAGTAAATACTCATCAGTCATTGTACGCTTTTTCTATATCTACAGGGATTTCATAAATTATTATAATATGATATATTCTTATCAACGAATAAAGCCTAAACATTTTAAATACCTACTAGAAAGTACATACGTGATACGTGTTGACACAGCAGATCACTCATTACAAAATATTATAATCAATATCGCACCAATAACTTCGGTAGGCGTTTAAAATTTAAAAGTAAATTTTTATACAGAGATATTACCAGAGCCGTAACTGGGGTGATTCGAGCGAGGTACTTGCCTTGGACGCCTGATGCTGGGGGGAGAAAATATATTAAATGATGAACTTATTACTTAAGAGGACGTCGCACCCGCATGTGTTGTCTCCGTCTTACACACATATACGACATAGCAAATGTTTGTTGGCTAGTTTCAATAGGGTATTGTCAGTTTTGATATTAGAGTGAATTGACCTATTATCAAACTTTTAGGTAACAACATTATCTGTGTTCTCTCGTTGGTTTTTACGATATTTTAATTTTTAAGTGAGTTATGGGTATGTAAAGTATTCATATTCTATAAAATGTTCATAACTCACTTAAAAATTAAAATATCGTAAAAAACCAACGAGAGAACACAAATAATGTTGTTACCTAAAAGTTTGATAATAAGTCGATTCACTCTAATATCAAAACTGATAATACCCTATTGAAACTAGCAAACGAAAATTTGATATGTCGTACGTGTGTTGTGTGTAAGACGGAGACAACACATCCGGGTGAGACGTCCTCTTAAGAAAAAGTATTAATTATTGTATAATACTGATACGTAAACGTAATATTATACTTTCAATATAAAATATATTAATACCCGTTTATTACTTTATAATATTATTGAATTGTTATTATTATTATAGTTTTCTATTTTGCTGTAAGTAGTATTTATTATGTTATTTTAATGACTTTATTTTCCGTTTAATCGACGACTGGTCGGCGGTCGGTACCTGCTTAATATCTACATTATATCAGATAATGTACGAACAATACATCAATTTATAAATAGTGAACAAATTTTGTGTAGTGTATAATATTACCGTTTTAATAATTTGACTTAGTATTTGCTGGTCAGTATTAGCCGGCAGGACGCAGGTCGCAGGTGCATAGCTTTCTGTTTTTTCCGTATAAGAATTTACCTATTTTAAACAATATACATAGTTTTACTATTAATACTTGGGCTTAAAAATTCTTAGCCAGAAATTCTTGACACAACTATGGAAGAAAATTTTACAAATGCTACAAAAGTTGCGGAAGAGTTACAAATATCAACAACTTTAAAGGAATCAAGAACAAACAAAAAGAAAAGATTAGAACTTTCTGACTCAGATGACTTGGCGGTATGAAAAATTTATGGAAATATCAAACGATTTTGAATTTCTTTTCGGTCATTCATTAACTAATATGAATACACACGATTTGCAAAAAGCAGATGCTGATCTAGGATTAAAATATAATGAAGATATAAATACTGCGGAAATAG